GAGGAATTCTTGAAGCTACAAACTCGAAATAACACCACAGGGTACTGCAACATTTGCAATCCGAAGCTGAGCTGTACTAAACTCTTAACTTTAGGGTACTTCGCAAATATGACCTGCTTAAACCATGTGGACATAAATGCACTTAGCAACAGGAAAGTGCATATTTTGCCCTGTCACTTCCATCGAAAAGAACGTTGCATCACATAAGTTAAAAGCGTAAAGGACGTTAGCTTGAGTCCATGGCTGTCCTACCTTTCTTTAGCACTCACACAGTGTATCAACTGTCCGCCGGTACACCATGCCGCTGCTTCGTTGCCACGTAGCCACCAACAGTTGCTCGCATCTACGCGGATTCGAACCGATGACCTCCAACTAAAAATGGCAAACAAGTAATTCTTTCGGCCATCAGATGGTTAACAGCCAGGGTTAAATGCCTCATAGACACCGTGCATGCAATTATTTTTAGCAAAGAGAAGATCGCTTCTTACAGCACACCAGACAACACAAATGGTGTAGCTTATCCTGCCACTAGATTTGAGGCGGCGAGTGTGCCTTTTATAATGGACACACTTCCGTCCGCGTTTCTCTAGACCGAAAACACTTCTATGCATGATCACGTGCAGCGCCTGTCCATTCAGGTCCTCAAAACGTTTTTATACTCTGTAAACAGGAGTCATACAGACTTTCCTGTTTATCCCGTTCTGATTCTGTACAATGATTTCACCAGTGCTAATTCTTCAAGGTACGCTGCTTGAACAAGTGAGCAGTTTTGTTTACCTGGGAAGCTGTCTCTGCTGATGGTATCATTGGAACCGATTTCCCTCCGCATTGCTAAAGCCCGTTCGACGTTCGTCAACTTGAGACATTTGCGGCGACGCCGTTATGTTTAACCATTGGTAAAGGGCAGGGTCTACAATGCCTGGGGGCATTGTAGACCCGCGGTGCTGCTGTATAGGAGTAAGTCCTGGCTGATTTGTGCGAATGACCTGCGTCGGTTTTCGGCCTTTGACAATGGATCTCTGCGGAGAATAGCTCGAGTGTGTTGGATGAACCACGTGCGCAACGATGATGTTAAACGTCCCGTCTTGGGTAACACGGGACTTCCACTTGACAGACTGGTGCTGCTGCACCAGCTGAGATGACTGGGCCACGTTTTACGCATGTTATGCGAACGACTGCCCCGACGTGCTCTATTCGCTCGTACAGGACCAGGCTGGAAGAAACCACACGGTGGTCAACCTATCACGTGGTGACAAACGATTAAAACGCCTACTTCCAGTCTAGCTGTCTTAGGTCCCGTGCGTCTTCCGGATTGGGGGGTCAAAGATGGCAAACACCGCCGCCTAAGAACTCTCGGAAATGGCGTAGAACCGGGCCCAATGGAAAATGTGTCCGACTGTTTGTCTGGCTTTTCTTGATTTCCATCGCAAACATCCAACTGACAAAAAAGAGAACGGTGTGTGAAAAAGAGCTAAAAATGACGAACAAGATTACAAAACAGAAACTTTTAACCCTCATCCTTTTCTTTATGGTCTCTGTATTTCTTACTTCCATTACGCGATTTTCGCTGGTTTTATATGTATCTTTGTTGTTCACATATATATATATATATATATATATGCAGTGGACTGCATACTTTTACTGAGACACCTGAGGTGGCTCGGTCATGTGAGCCGTATGGATTCGACGCGGATACCGAAACAACTTTCATACGGTCAGCTGAGTATAGGGAAGCGGCACTTGGGGAAACCAAAGTTACGTTACCAGGACATGATCAAAGTGAGCTTCACACGTTCTAACATTGATTGCAGATCATGGGAGTCGAAGGCGGTTAATCGGTGTGCATGGCGCGATCTCATCACGAAGGCAGTTGCTGAAGTGCGGGAGAAAGCCCTCATGCATGCAGAGAAGAAGCGACAAGTGCGGAAGCGGCAAGCACCAATGAATTGTACTGCATCGACATCGAGCGCATGGTGCTGTAGAACATGCGGTCGCGAGTGCCTTAGTCAGGCAGGCCTAGTGAGCCATGAGAGAGGTCACTCGGGACCACTGCCGAAGCGCCGACGGGTCCAGCAGTGAACGTAGGCAGCACCGGCGCAGCGTTTGTAGGCAGGCTGAATTCGATTTACTGACCGCGTGCTTGCATGCTAAGTTTCTTTATTTCAGGTGGTGGGTTTTCGGTTCTGTCCTAATGCCTTTCTTTCTCATATAAATGTCTAGTGGTCCATGAGCTAGGTCCTTTGGGGCCACTACGGAAGCGACGACGGGTCCTGCAGAGAATTACGGCGAGCCGGCGCAGCGTTTGTAGGCACGCTGAATTCGATTTATTAACCGCGTACTTGCATGCTAAGTCTCTTTATTTCAGGTGGTGGGTTTATAGTTTTTACTTTAATGCTTTTCTTTCTCATATAAATATCTACCAGTACTCTATTCCATTAAATTGCACACCTCGCCTAAGCCAATTGTATTCGATTTCCGTAGCATATTTGTGTTCGTGGCATTCCGTGAACTATATCTCCTGACCTCATGCACTCAGCTAGGATTTGTTTGTAAACAACTTATTACATATGCTATTTAAATAAGGTTTATATCACCGTTTCCTTATGCATTAATCGAGTTTTTCTCTTTTTCTTTCTCTCTCTCTCAAGTGTTTGGCTGTTGTTTGATATCCCCGGTGTGGATGCGCTCGATGTGCATGTTGACAAGGTGCCTACCTGTCTATTACCCACTACATCGTCCATACTGGCTCCAGGAGACAGTTGGTCATTGCTGAAGGGGACGGGGTGCACGGTCCTTGTGGCCGTGTTAGGATCAAAGAGTGGTTCCATGCAGTGAGTGTGTAGCGGACTACGGTCCAGCCACCGCCTTGTGTGCGCTTGATTCCCAAATACAGCGTGCTTGTGTTTGCCTGTGAAGGAGTGTGGGCCGGCTCCGTTGATGAAACGTGGTTCCCATCCACATGCCTCCCAGTCTTATTCCTTCGGGTTTACACTGGATATGGGGTATGTGGTTGGTGGTGTGTGTGGTGCAGCGCAAGCCACCCATAATCCCTCTGTAGGCGCAGGCGTCCTGTGGCTTGCCACAGTAACAGGCAAATCCGAAACCGGATACCGCCAGGCTTATATATATATATATATATATATATATATATATATATATACACATAACATTGTAGTTTGTTTTTTACATGCTGTTATTTTTCTCTCTTGCCATTTTTTATGTTTGAGATACCAAACATGTGGGTGCAATTCTGCACACTGTTCTTCTATTGGTTCCGCTTGGGGGCCATTTCTTCAATCCTATTGTGTCACTGGCACGCATCTTTAGGTTTTCATCCTGTGAGACGTACTAGTCCAACGGCGGCTAGACATGGCGTCTGATTTCATGTGCTGGCGCCTAAGTGGACGACTGACCATCGCGCGGTCGCCTCCAGCCCGGTCCTGAATACGCGAATAGTGTGTGGCGCGGCAAACGCTTAGGCGCTATGCGTAGGACGTGACTGAACCATCAACTGGCGCAGCCAAACGAGCTTGTTGAAGGGAGTACTCGCGTTCCCCAGGACGCGACTTCTAACACCATTGCTGGGAACGATGTTGAGGCCATACGTTTACAGTGCAATACCATTGGTTTACGTAGCCAAACGATGTCTTTCTTTCCACTACTAAGTATTGTTACATCCCGTGCACTTAATTGAACCACGCACGTTTGCGAAGCATCATGAACTCAGAAATCTAACGCATTGAGGTACCCGCGCTTTCAGGGCGAAGTGATGTGATTTTTCTGTTTTTGCCTCTATTATTCTCTCCCATTGATATCGGCCGGCAGCCGAAAGGACCAAGTGCTTTTCTTGTGATCCGGCGGTACCGGTTCGAATCCGCGTAGACGCGGTTGACCTCGCGATATGCTCAAACCATGCGCGACTGTTTGTGGCAGCGAACCGTGGGTACAATATGCCGGCGCAGTGTTGATGCTTCTCTCCCACTAGTTGCATTTTTTCTCGTTGCATATTCGAAAAACCAACATAGCTTACTGTTGCGGTCGATGAGGCACGTTTCTGCCTGTAGCGGCACGCCTGGAAAATCATTCACTCCTTGTATTGTTAGGTAAATATTTGGTGGCAAGTATCCAGTTTTTGTCTGGATCGCCGATCAACCATGTTTACTTATACACAGTAACCTGTCGAAACTGCTCCTATCTCTTTCTTACAAGGTTGAAATTCAGTTTTTTACATGTTTCGCACTGTAGTTGGTTTCATCTTTAGTACGAGGAACGAATGCACAATGCATTCTACAGTCCCCTGCGACTACCTGACACGACATCAATTCATTGCAAGCGTCTTGAGGACAAATGTCGAAGATTGTCGGTTCATCCAGTACCCGACCAATTGGGGCACTACATCGATGCCACTGAGCTCTCCTTTGACTTCTGGTGAGTGTAGAGCGTTCAGTGAACCCGAGACGCAATTCATTAGGGTTTGGAGCAAGTGGTATCGTCGGGATGAGTTTTCGGAACCCATAGGTAACCAAGATGGAGGTGTACCAACTGCGACCAATCAAGGGACTGGTCTACAAGGTAGGCTACCATCCACCTTGATGCGAGCACGAACGGTAGTGAACGAACCAGACGATCAATGAAGCCTCTAATGTTGTCACCTGATCATAAAAGAGACTAGGGTAACATAAGGTAACCATGTTGCCATGTCACCGAATACTTGTGTCTGAACTGATTTTTCTGCCGACTAGTTTATCTGGAACAATACAATTCCAATTTTAGTTAGTATTTGCTTTCGTGTCTTCGTCTTTAAATGTTTTCGTTTTTACCGGTTTTATTTCCTTCTGGAATGCAAATTTTGTACACCTCAGTGTCCAAACTTCACCTAATGAGTTGTTTCTCTATCATTCATTCAGCCACTGGTGTTTTTATGCGTCAAGTAACCATGCGCTGCTTTAACACTTACCCGTCTGCATTCTCCTCCTTTTTTTCACTCTCGTTCCATTTAGAGACCAACGTTTTAAAACACTCTACAGATCTTCTTTCCCTATCAATTGCGTGGTTGACGAAAGCACTCGGCTCGCTGCTCCGACAGATTCCCAGCACCGACGAAAGCGGCGTAAAAATGTCTCCAAATCAGACGAGAGTGTTCACACTAATGCGCCTGATGAAGAAAACTCTTCCGACAATGTGTTTGCAGTGAACTGTGATGTCTGCGGTATTCTTGTTGGGACCAAAGATCCTAAAACGAATGTAACCACCTTTTCTGGTACACTTGCAAGCCACACTTAAACGGTTTAACTTGCAAGTTCAACCTGGTCTGTACATAGTGCTCTTTTTCGCTCTAGTACATTGAAGTTGCATTGCTTGCAACTATTCACTTTCGCTGTTCTCCCTTAAGCTGTGCAGATCGATATTGTAGATTACTGTCAATAAGATATCTAATAAACTAGTAAGGACTTGGCGTACTCCTACTAAGCTTGGTTCTACAAGCTAGTCTGGTGTTTGTGTTGACAATACCGATAACAGCTTTAATTCTTTTGAATCCGGAATCAGTCACTTTCTAAATCAGAAGCAATGCGTTTTGAGAAAACTTCAATTGAACCAACTAGGTCTTTGATTCTGTCGACCATCGTACGGGACGTAGAATAAGTTCCGTGCTCCCAGAGGCTTCTAGCGGAAAGTGCTTTCATGTGTTGATTCCGAGGTGAAGGCACTGGCGTTGACCGGTTTCTGCTTAGTGCGCTTCATGTTGAATTGCTCTGCCATTTCTCTTAGGTCGCTGGTATGTATACTGACTTGGAAGGCTTATTTGAGCGGACTCTCTCAACGACTTACCATCGACTTATTACCATTCTCTTCCCAAGGCAACGACGCAAGTCACCAAATCATTAGCAACGTTTGCAGCCGGCGTGATTGGGTTGCTAGATATAGCACGGTTTATCCTCGAATTCCGTGTCAAGTACATGGTTGATTTCCAAGAGTATTACTTCCCTCGCTATACCGCCAGTCGCCCTATGTCATTGATGGCCGGTTTGGTCGGAGTTGTACGCTACCGGGCGCGTCCCCAGGTTGCGGATAGGGGAATGCCTTCCTTGTGGAGGTAACTGCAAATAAGCCTCGTTTGCCTTGCAGGCGAGATGAATAAGCAGTCGCGGACAATCAGCGGCAGCGTCTCAGCGCGTGGGGAGTTCTGGGCTGGTTCTCCATTAACTACCACAAGTGCTCGTACGGCGCTGTGTCAAAGCCAATGTGACTGGCTATAGGGTCACTGTTCACTCACACCTGTAACTGGGGGTGAGTATCTAACGGAGGGCGGATGAACAACCTCGATGGCCACCGGCTTCTCTGTGCACTACTTCCGAACACAAAGAAGGCGGATGAGCCACTTGGCTGTTAACGCTCTTCGTGAATCACCCCGCTGCTTTGCGGGTCAGGTCTTTAGACCAAAGGCTCGGGGTGGGGTCCCTTAAGTCAACCCCCTTTCCTCGGCCTGGGCAACCGGGAAGCTCAATACCCACACAGCACATGGAACTTTACTTCTAATCCTCTTATTCTCTCTTTTTTGTTATTGTTACTCATGTGTTGTGGCACTCTGCGAAATATTTGTTGAGCAAGTGTCAAATACAATAATACAGTACTAGAGGGAGGTCGAGGACGAAGAAGAGACGCCCTCTACTGTTGTCACACAGCAAAATAACTAGATCTTCCGACGCTTCTCCATGTGACGTGCACTTGAGCCCGAATCACCCCCCTTTCACTATGCCAACGGTGCATTACGTCACCGACGGATATTCCTCCCATTTTTCGCTACCCCACCTCATTGACCATCGTACTGCACAACTAGCTCAGCACCATACAAAATTCACGTCAACCACCTTGCCACGAGACAACAGCATGTTGTTTACTGGGCAGACCGTGTGAACGCCCGAGCTAGACGCAGCTGGGTACAGTACATTTCGGTCTAAAGGGTGCAAGGGAAGCGTAGGAACCAGTCCAGTGGACTCCGTTTCCCACCGCTAGATCAGTGATGAACCTCACTCTCAATTCAGGCCACCTCAGCTTCACCAAACCGACAAGGCGCTCCTCGATAACGGTAGACTGGAGTCCGTAACACATACCCGAGGTAACGTAGCTTATTCCGTCCTAATTCTTTATCTAAGGATCGTCACTGCTTTACGACCCGTCTACGCACCTCGAGGCGTCGGACATTTTAGTGACAAATGACGCCTGATGGCCAAACACCTGATAGCACTTACGATGTTCACATCGAGAACGCCCAATCTAACTGCCGAGGAGGGGCGTGAACCCCACTGCGGTCTTATGGACAGTACATAGGGCAACCCCCTGCTGACACCACAGGTTTGTGAAGACAGTCCTAACTTCCGTCCTACATGTACTGAATTACGCAGTCGAGCAATTGTCACTTCTGATGCGGCTACCGAGTTAGGTATCTGCATTAACCAAGACTGATAAGTGTCTGGTGACCCTGCAACGGGACCTTACATTGTGAGAGTGCAGATCCGACAGTGGGTGGGTTTATCACGGACAATGGCAATTGTTGAGATTCATGAGAGCACTGTCGAAGCAGGAGGAAAAACGCTGATTATCCAAGCGTTAGATTCCGACGGAGCTTGGTCCGTCGACATCATGCACCTTGTGCCGTTTCACATGCGGTCGTGTGTGCCTCAGCTGTTGGTGAGTTGGATCAGTAGGGCTTAGAATGTCAAGCCTCAGGCATGAGCGTCTTCTCTTTGTCGGATGAGAACTCGGATTCCGCTCTGTACAACAACTAAGACTGACCTAGCAAACCGGATTTCTCCGTGTCTGTAGTATGTTCATTTAGTTGTGTTCGACTCTTATTCTGAGCGCGTGCTAACACGACGTTAACAGTGTCCTTTGCTCCCTGTCACGTGTCATTAATAGCTACGATCTGCTTACACTGGACTCTCTTAGGCGGTATCCATCTGTCGAATACTGGTTTCTGCACACGTTCACCCCGTTTCTATCTAGCGAACCAGACTTTGAATGCGTCACTTACCGCCGGTCGTTCTAAAGCTGCCTGACACGAACAGGCTAACTCGGGGAAACCCAATCGTACACTTACATTCCCACCGGCTTGCAGGGCACTGCTGGGAGTTCGCCTATGTTTGCTATCATCTACCGGAGGCAACCGACGCACCCTTGGCTCGAGTGGCGCTCATTTACTGAGCCCACTAATTCTCTTAGTGACCAGTCGGCAAACGTTTGCCCAATCTGTTGCGCGCTGCAAAACGCGTGCACGCTTGACCAGAGTGAGAAGAGCGGCGATGACACCTACACCATACCGTCCATCCTTTTCTACCTTGTCGAGCACCTCATGCAATTTGTCACTGCGCATTGCTTTCACTGTATCTACCGCTGTGCCATCGATGTCAGAGGGACAACCAGCACCTGGTGTATGTCCAGGTTCAAGACCAAACTTGCTACATGTTGCTACCTCCTGAGCAAGATTTTCGCGCTCCGGTCGCACTGAGATGCAGTTTAGTGATGGAGACGTGTTGATCATGTTAGATACAGCTTCTCTATGTATTACATATCTGTTATCAATCTACGCGTTTACTACACGAGATTTCAGTACCAGTGCCCATTGATCTAGGATAACAGTCGCGAATACACGAAATATGTCATTTTTATTCCTTCTGTTAAACACACAATTCAAGTTCCTCTTTGGAAATTATCCTCCACATCACAAGCACGAAATTGTCTTGGCCTTGAGAACTTTCCGGATGACTATGCGTCAGTGAAGCATGATGTTTCTTGCGCCTGAATTCCTTCCGCATTGAGTTCCTGAAGAATTGGTTTGTATATCTGCGGCTTGAGGGGCAGTACTATGCCCTTGTCAGTCACTTTTCCTGTACGGACGAAAAAAACATGACGAATATAGAGGTGTCGTAGCATTACTGTAAGAGGTAGAACATATTTTCAAAACACACCTTTCTATATTTACCACTTTCATCCACTTGTCCGCAGTTACATCATTTTGCCTTAACCACTCTCTTTTTTATCCCGATAATCATCCATGTTTGCTGTTCGAATCTCGTGCGACCCTTATCCCTCCACACTTGAACTCGGATAGATAACGCATTGATTGTGCCTGTCTGTCCGTCTACAAGCCTCGCTCCGTCTGTCTGTTTACATGGTGAATGTATGTCCGTTGTGTCTGTCTCTCCAGACAGGTATCTCTAACTTTTGGCCTCTGCCCCGTTCCTGGACAACAGCACTTAAGGAAAGCACTTATTTATGACTGACTCAAGTGGTTACACTAACTCACACTGCACTTCCTTGTCGGTGACCGCGCTCTCCAAGTTTGCGTCGAACAGGCGCTTCCAACCTCAATTCTCATGATATTCCGCCCCAGTTGACACACATTGCCATCAAGGGGCTTGCAATGTGGTACAAACTATTGTTTTGTTATGACCGGTCATAACACACTAAATATTTTTTGTGATGACGATGTGATCATCAATATCTGCTGATTGACTGACTAAAAACAATGGAAGCCACTATCATTATCATCATCATCATACACGTGGGGAACACCTCAGCTACTGTGCCGCAATACACAGAAAAAACGCAACTGATGCAAGCCGGCTGAGCTACCGGTAACGGATGGGCATCGTTCCGGTAAGCTACCAGCCGGCTACCGTGCATCAAAAAAATTACTATGCAAAATTATTTAAGGCTAAATAATGAGATCGTGGTTGGAGGGGGAGGCTCAAAGGGATGGGGTGGGACAAAGAAACTCACGGCACGAACGCCACAAAGGTCGGCTCCTACCCGTGTCAGCAAGTGTATCTAGCCAAACGTGTTCATCGTCTTTGGGACCCCATTCGGGGAGCCGTGACGCTCCAACCGAAGCCAGCTCCGAAGTGAGGGCCTTCATTGCTCTCGACCAAGTCATCGCTTGGCCACCCCTCCTCTTCTTCCATTCCCACCCCCGGCGCGCAAACAACATACGTCGCGGGAGTCGGTGGGCTGGCATGCGTAACACGTGGCCCAGCCATCGGAACATAGTGCGTGAAATAACGGTGCTGAGCGGTTCATTTCCTGTGCCATAAACAAGATGTCGAACACGCTCGTTGCTCACCCGGCGTTCCCACCAGATGTGAGCTAAATTACGAAGGCACCGGTGGTCGAACGTAACTAGCCTCTTTAGGTCCGTTGCTTTAAGCGGTCAGGTTTCACAACCGTACAGTAGGGTCGAACGTACCGCTGCATTGTACCCTCTACCCTTCAGCGCAAGAGTGATTTCGCGCTGGCGCCATAAGTGGCGAAGGTTAGCAAAAGCGCCCCGAGCTTTTGCTATACGATTTGTGATTTCATCCTCAATCCCACGGGCGCTGATACAACTTCCCAGGTGGTTGAATTTTTGAACGCTTTCTAGCCACTATACTCATTTATGAATAGACCTAGTTACAAAGGTGTCGTTTGCTGTCGGTATCTCAGTTGATGAATGATTACCGAAACCCATCTTTTGTTCAGACTAGATGGAGATTGTTGAGGATTAGTAGTATTTTTATGTCGCTTGTCATCAACCCTGTGTTCCGCGGCTACACTTCTCCATCTGCTGAGGCTAGGCTGTGAATCTGGGCTTGCGTTACACAGAGTTTTTAATTAGAGTAGGCATCTGCGAGTCCAATCAACTCTCATGTCTACAATTCAGGACAACACCGTACGTTAATAGTTGTGTTCATGTTAAAAACTTCAGCATGTTTCGTTTGGAAGACTTTCAAGCCACTACGAATCCAGCACACTGTCATGTGAACTTACCTTCAAGAATCATCTTGGCCGCGATAGCTGCGGGTAGACCCACTGTACGGGACATGGCAAGACCAGCTTTGCCCTGACCGGGGTTTCCATATACGACCAGATTCACTTTCCGCTGTTCACGTTGCCTGCGCTTGGGCCAGTCGATGATCATCTCGTGTGCCATCACGATCAGATCGCGTTCATTTTGTCCTGCCGTCACAGCAATACGAAAAGTAACAAATCAGATTCATTAATTCGCGACAACTTTGTTGGATAACAACTACGAAGCTCAATGGTAAGTGATCATCTCCTTTCCTGCCGCGCCATTTCAGTCTTTGTCTTCTTTATTAGTACAGATACCCTTCTTGATTATCATGGGAAATCATGGGTGTTTATAATAATGCCTTTGTGCCCCATGCTGAGGCTGATCTTATATTCACGATGCTTCTTCACCGCAGTTGGGCTGAACCAACTTACACTTAAATTAGGTCTTTTTTAAGCTGGATAAATTGCATTCCACTTTATTTGATTTGTTCTGCGTACCTGGTAATTTTCTCCTAACTTGCACACGTCGCTGATACTAGTTGTTGTGAACTTGCGTAATTTTATCACGTGGTATTTTTTAAATAACTTCCGGATATTTTGTACTTATCGCAGATTCACTTATAACCACTTTCTTCCATATGCTCATTTAACGAGTATTTATGTCGTCATATGCGTTTATTTGATATCGGCATTTCCAATGATTGGCTGTTGTTTGACATTCCCGGTGTGACTGCGCTTGATGTGCATGTTGACAAGGTGCCTGCCTGTCTATTACCCACTACATCGTTCATACTGGCTCCAGAAGACAGTTGGTCGTTGCTGAAGGGGACGGTGTGCACGATCCTTGTGGCCGTGCTAGGCTCGAAGAGCGATTCCATGCACTCAGTATGGAGCGGACTACGGTCAAGCCACCGCCTTGTGTGCGCTTGATTCCCAAATACGGCGTGCTTGTGTTTGCTTGTGAAGGAGTGTGGGCCGGCTCCGTTGATGAAATGTGGTTCCCATCCACATGCCTCCCAGTCTTATTCCTTCGGGTTTACACTGGATATGGTGTGTGTGTGTGTGTGTGTGTGTGTGTGTGTGTGTGTGTGTGTGGATGGAGCTGTGTGTGGTGCAGCGCAAGCCATCCATGGTCCCTCTGTAGAGGCGCAGGCGTCCTGTGGCTTGCCACAGTGACAGGCAAATCCGAAACCGGATGCCGCCAACCATATATAACACAGTATGCGCATTGTCGTTGTCATCGGATTGATAGCGGAGTTGGGAAACGTAATTGGAATAAGTTGCAAAAATAATTTTCTTCTTCTAGATTTCCGCTGATCGTGTTCGGGTCATATTTTTAATCTTATGTATTGGTTCAGATTCTGTTCTTGCTTATCATGTGAAATCATGGGGGTTGATAATAATGTCTTTACATGGCCACCTGGCGCATACGGCGGTCGCAACAACATGGCTGCTACCTAGCCGCTGCGTAGTGCGTATTTACCATGCGATCTCCATTTCGGTCTTGGTGCCGAGGATTGGAACTCGAGTCACCACAGATCGCTAAAATCCCCGTTTTCCAGGTTATACAAGAAAGCCCGACAGGTTTGTTTCGCTGTTAGGCTTCTCCGTTTTCAGCACGTATACACCGTGCGATTAAACGAGAGTACGTTGAATATCAGGACACGTTTCATGCCTACTTGTTTACCCCTTGAATTCTCACAAAATGTGAGAATTTGATGCACTATGTTTCCACAGTGGTATCTGTGGTGTTCACCATAAATGTACCTCCTATCTAAACACCGTATTGGCAAACTACTTCGTTGTGTGACATCGGAGTGGCCTTGATTTATCATTTTCCAGCAAATGGTTCAGCAACAATTTCGGAATTTTTTAAGGTATTTATCCCAGCAGTTCACAAGTTACATAGCACAGCCTAGTCCGGAAAAGCAACAGACGCGTTTTCCCCTGTTGGGATTCGTCAGTGATGCGCATTCCCCCGGTCCCCTACTGGGGATCGAACGCATAACTGCTAGAGGCCAGATGCCAACTATCGAGCTGCTTAAGCCACTGGGCCATGGGGGACGTTGACTGAGCTACATAATTTGCAAACTAACTGGGATATAGCACCATCTATCTTCCACTGTCACTGACAGTAGTTAGCCTGCGAGGTGATGACGTCCTCTCGCTAGACGCTATATCCATAGCATTTAAAAGTAGGAGAGGCTTTTTCTTTTCTGTTACTCGTGAGTAGCAATAGTATCCGTTCTACGATGCTGCGACGTGGCGGGTGTGACTCCCCACCAACTCATGTCACTGTCCATTGCTCCATCTCGGTGGAATCTTGTAGTTCGGGAGAGAGACGTGAGACGCATTGGGCATCCGTTTGACATCTTACTCAACCAAACTCCTTTGAACTGAAAAATCGATCACTGGCTCCCAATGGGCACGATTCCCGGACTTTGTTATGCTGCCTTGCTGGTAGGCTACTTAACCAAACGTCCAAGGTTGTGTCCTCTGAATAAACTCTACTCCGGCTCGGGTAACCGGTTACTAATGCATTTACTGAACATGGATTGTTTTGCGCCGTATTCGGTTATCTCTTACTATAATTGTATCTTACTTTTATTTTTATACAAAAATATCTAGATATATGTCTATGTGCCTGCGCTGCATGATTGTCACAGACTTCTCTTACGCAGGCAACGTTAAAAAATATTCAGTACTGCTGGGAGCCAGTGCAATGGGTGTGCTGGTGTGATTACTGCGGTTTTGTACAGTTTGTTTGTTTATATACTAATTCCTGCTGTTTCGTTTCAACTCGTAACTACGCTTGTGGACTTCCTCGACGCTGTGCAGAACAACGAAAACTCATCGTAACCTCACCGCGCATGGTTTCCTTCTGCGCATTTGATTTGAGCACAAGTATCACGCTTACCGTATTCCAGAAATTTGGAAAGTTTCAATGAAATGCTCGCCAGCGGAGTTATCGCTTGTGCTACCGCATCTTCAGATAGCAATCCAAGACTGAAAGGAAAATGCAGATTGTGATGGCCATTGAGAGGCGCGCATTTAGAAATGAAATCAGTGATTGTCTGTCCAGATTGCTACTATCGATTCATTATATGCCACCCCCATGTAGCCCTTGACTGACCTAGCCATACATGGAATTTAGAGAATAAGCATTCTACTTAGGTCGTATCAGTGTGAATCAGTTTAAGGAAGCACATTTTAGCGATCACATTCCTTCGCGGAGTTTCTTTAACGCGAACGACTTTTTCACAATGGATCTGCCGTATTATTCCAGGAAGTCATTTCTAGAGACGGTCACTTGCAAACACCAGTTGGTTGCTTATTGTTTCCGGATTGAGAACTCGTTAATCAGAAACGTGTGACTAACTTACTTTACTCACTCATTCAAGCATTCAAATTTCTTGTGATCTCCACTGACCTTCTGCATCACAGCATACTTGAGTTGTTCCCCACGAAGTTGTTCATTCAGTGATAGCTTTCGACACATCAGCTGTCGCTTAAAATTGAAAGCGAAAATATGTGTATGTACCAGTTTCACTCTCTGTCTTACCGTGGGATGCGTTTGTCCCACTGTTACCTGATACTTACCCACGACAATCGTGGCGATCCGGGCTGCAAGTCGACTTGGGGATCCGCATTGAGTAAGCCGAGACTGAGTAGAAACGTCATGGCTTCTGCATATCCTCCATATCGTAAAGTTCCCCGGATCACGGTCTCGCAATCCTCAAGTCCGTACAAATCGATGTAACGTATTGAGTCCCTGTTCGGATAACCTTCCAGGTTGAGTGCAGGGAATATGGACATTGGAGCAACAGCCTTCATCAAGCTACCATCGGCTGGAATTTCTCTGATCTGCAAAAATCGAATAGGCAACATGTTTATATAGGTTTTCGTTGTTTTATCGTCAGACCCATTCCAACACTTGGTGTTCTATGTTTAAGGAATTGGTATGGCGTTAAAGATGACCATGTTAGGACTAACATAGTTGCGAATTATCCTCTTTGTCCTATCTGAACGCGTTATCATTGCGCATCCCTCGGGTCTGCCAGGGCTCAAATTGTTAGTGGACATGAGGGAATGTTCCTAAGACGAATTTCGATCGATTTCGCTTTTAAAGTGGGCAGGATTCCTCATTGTGGATAGTTTGGCCTCAACAAAATATCACATCACTGTTTTCCCCTCCCGGGGCACTTTACCTTGGCTCGTTTTGCCCAGCGTCTGAGGAGCTGCGCGCCGTGGTTCTCCTGACTACCATCGTGCTCACGAGGCTTAGTACATTCACGCATAAGGGGAATCATCTTACCTGTCATGTGCTTCGGTCCAAGACAAGTGACGCGCACCACTTCTGCAGAGACTATACTGATCTCGTGACTAGCTAGATAACGACGCGCACGCTGTGAATAGCCTGGGCATCCGCTACGTAACGCGTGCGTTGTGATGACATTCACCTGACGTGATCGATGTTGAGGGCCACTGCGACCTGAGGCGCTCCTGGTCTAACGTCAGTGTGGGTACGGCCACCCTATTCTCGCTGTTTGTTGCCGTTGTTCTGACACATGTGATAGTTTTTTTAGCCCATAGCTGTTGGAGCGTTCCAAACTCATCATTATACACGTTAACTGCAGGTGGAAAACACTTCAGCTATTATGCCGCAGTACAAAGGACAAGAAGAAAAAAACTGTGGCACGCCACCTGAGCCCCCAGTAACGGATGGACATCGTTCTGGAAACCTAACAGCGGCTATCGTGCTGCAAAAAGTTATCTTATGCCTAACGAATGCGATCGTGATTGGAGGGGGAAACTAAGTAGGAGGGGATAAACAAAGGACGTCCCAAACTAGTCTTCGGAATTCTCTAAGGCAGCCGTAATGATCTTCTTTCCCTAACAAAGTCGATGTCACTGTGTTTGGTTTGACTGATGTATCCTGGATCCGTACTAAACTCCTGCGTCAAAACGGTGGGCATACTCGTTGTCCTTTCGTGCGTAGCTTGGCAAAATGGTATATGTTTACCTTTCCGTTTTCCAAATATTTCGCTCCGTTCAGCACGGTTGATAGTGCAGCTTCTGGACTCCAGCTGAATTTGTAACGCAATGGATTGTCTGAATTCTCCGGCGCCGGTAATCCGCCTGTGTATGACCGATAAGAGAGCAATCGACCACCTTTCTGTTTCACATCGTCGACACACTCCTTTGTCAACAGGTGATCGATTCCAGGATCCAAACCTATTTCCATAAATGCTGTTATCCCTGCTTCTTGGATGCTGAAACAGTGAGGAGAAGTTGAAGTGCCGTTTCACAACGTGTACGAGTAATCATAGAGAACAGTCAAATATAGTAAAACCTTTAAATTTGATCACTTCCGTACTCTGACTACCTCCCTAATTTGACCGTTTTCTCATAACTTGAACCTTCACAATGTAAACCTTATGGAACCAGAACTTGGGCCATGACAGTCATTATTAATTGGATAAGTTGATCATGTGATGGTTTACTGCGCAGCGGTCACTGAAAGATCGTTTGTTCAGACAGTGTGTATTTAGCGGGATTTTTCTATCACTGCACTTTATGGCTCCGTAGAAGTTTGACGATGCAACATGTTCTCTGTCTTGCGTGCGCACCTTTGCCCCGCCCCTCAGTGTTCACACATACATTGTGTTTCCACAGATACGCAACCACAGATTGACCCTGACCATTTTTGTGTGTTATCTTTCCTCACACAAATTCGCACCGCGCCTACCCATTTGGACATGCGCCTACGCATTCTACAGGTCGTAATCAGTAGTTTGAGTGCCTGTCTAGCCGTCCATTAACCGTTTATAAGCTAACCTACTCAACACCCGCTCATTTGCCTCTTGGGTTGCGACAACATTGACGTTTACGTCCACACTGATCGTTGAGTGGCTATCCCGCACTATTTGTTGTTCTGTAAATAACATCCTACATCTTTCATCTACTCCGTGCTTTGAACAAGTTTGGATCGAAGGAGAAGATTAATCTACATTTCCTGAAAAGCTGCAGCCAAAGATGGTAGAAGCTTTTGGTGTTAACACGATAACTGTGACAAACACCTAACCGCATAGGCATAGGTACTTAGAGGGACATGATAATTTGTTTGCCGTTATGTAAGAGCTCATCTAATACTTTCTAAACGAGGTATGCGAACATACATTTAATACTACACTACTCGCGACAGGAAAGTAGGGTGTGCTAAGGTTTTGTACAGGACTTCCTTATATTGACCACCTCTCTATGTTGACTACTTTGGTTCAGTCCCTCGAATGGTCAACTTACGGAGCTTTTACTGTAGTTCGGTAAACTAACGCAATTGATCAACAGCTCAATCGCAGGGTGCACGTGAGAGGAAACCGATACACTGTCTCACTTCACGATCCAATTGCTTCGGTGACCCTTTCGTCAAGTTGAGACTCAAGGGCATACGGCATCAAACTATAGCTCCCGGATTGATGCTGTGGGACCTAGGTCTGGAACTTACTCTTCCTCTGTTGGAAATGAGCAGAAGTCACAGCAACAGGCGGTTGCTTGCTCGTTGTCGCGACATTTAGTAGCAAACTGTGCTTTAGACGACGCGCGGCGAGAATCGCATGGTAGTACCGTTCCGTGCAAATCAAACTGGCTTCGCCTCATATCCATGCTTATCTACGATTGGCTGCAGGCGCCACCGTGACATCCGTTTGTCCAGTAGCGCTACTAATCTTACTGGTTCCAGGGTAGGTTCCTTGATGAAAGCGTACACGAAAATTGCGCATGGCACAAAATCCACATACATAAATACTTAAACGTTCAAATGCGCAAAAGGAAGAATGCACACATAGAAGAACGCTCGGATTTTGCCTGCATCTCCAAACGGTGGCAATCGAAATTCATTAGATGCCAGCTAGCGTCTTGCTCAACAGGCACGGTCGCCAACCTCATCAAGCCAAGACAAGGCTAGCCACGAACTCGGCCTTTTTACAGAGAGTGGGTTTCAATCTCCGATGCGTTGTGGTCTCGGCAAACTGTAGTAGCTAAGAACTGCTCAGTCTGTTTATTTATGTAAATATGTCACACTGGTTTTAGCACTCAGCGCAGTGCGGTATATATACTTTTTTCAGCAATCCATAAATAGACATTGAGCCATCGAAAAGTCATGAGGAACAAAATAAAACACAAAAGTACAAATGTTAAGAACATATAAAAATATGTTGGGCATTCTGACTTTTGTTATTTTTGTATTCACACGCCATTTTGTTCCCTTTTGGCGTTTTGAATGTTATAGCTCTAAGCATGTTGTGCAAAACATTTCAGTATACATTCCTTACAGTGATTCCGGTTTTGTGCCATATCTCCAAGTCTGTCGAACCATTTGCAATCCTCATCCTTGGGGCCCCATCCAGGACGACGTACTGGGCCGACGATTGCGAGATGGGCAGTCAGCGATTTCATGGTTTACCGCCAATCGGTTGGCTGACCTCCACGCCTTCCCTTGCAATTCAATCCCGTGCGTGCAAATAAAGTGCGATGTTGCAAGCGCTCTCATGGCATACGTAGAACGTAGCCAAGCCACGTCAATTTCTTTATATAAAATTATTACGATAAGGCGATCAAGCTGAGGGCTCATATTACACAACACGCGACGCCGGACTTCATCGTTGTGAATCCGGTGCTGCCACCACACACGGGCTATCCTCCGCAGACATGTGTTGTCGAGGGCCGAAAGTTTACGCATGTCACCCACACGAATCGGCCAGCACTCAGTTCCGTACAGCAGGACCGCGCGGACACATGCGTCGTAAGCCATCCCTTTTAAGGAGAGGGATATGTCCCGACGACGCCACAAATAACTGAGATTGGTAAATGCCGATCGGTTTCTGACGATGCGAAGAGATACCTATTTTCCAATAGTGCCATCAGCAGAAATACAGCTTCCGAGGTTGACAAACTTGTCCACAACCTCTAGATGTGTTCATTTAATGATGATTACGGGGGCAGACGACTTCCAGTTCTGGAATAGCACTTTACACTTCAAGGGGAAACACGCATAGCATACTTAAACGCTTCAATCGTCAGGTTGTTCAACATGAGCTGTTCACTGAATCGTCACCAAGCAGAGCGATGTCATAAGCATAATCTAAATCGGTCACGCGCTTACCAGGAAAAAGCTCAGTATCAACATTTTTGGAGCCTTCCAGAGATATCAACAGGACTTTCTCAGTTGCAAAGTTGTAGAGGAATGGAGACAAAGGGCACCTTTGTTGCACACCGCTAGTGATAGTGAATGTTGAGAAAAGTAAAACGCCCGAATGATAGCAGTGTACTTTTCGGGGACTCCATTTCTTAGCAGACAGTGCTATAAGGCATGCCTATCGAACGAGTCAAGTGCAACTTGAATATCCAAGAAAACGACAATGGGTGGCTTGTGGTAGGGATGCCGGTGTTCAAGCATTTGGCGTAGCGTGATGATCTGGTCCACGCATCCTCAACCGGGGGGGGGGGGCGAGAGTCGGCTTGTTCTCGGTAAAGTAACTCGCGGATCGGGGATATTCTGCGGAGCACGATGATGCCAATAGTTTGGAAGTAACCGGCATGAGACTGATTCCCCTGTGATTAGAGCATAATGTGCGAGCACCTTTCTTAAATATAAGGACAGTTATTGACTTACTTCAGGAGGATGCAATCTTCTCTTCGTTCCATATCTTGGAAAACAGCAATTTCAGCTGCTTGACAAGTGTTGGGCCACCAAATTTAAACATCTCCGGAGTAAATTTGCCCGATCCGGGAGACTTGAATCTCTTGAGATATCGAATCTCGACGAAAAACTCCGCTTCGTTAGGTTGCTCCAATGAAATGGCCCAGGGCATGCAATTGGGTGTATTTGGCATACTAACGAACAGCAGCTGGGGATTGAATTGAGAGTGAGAATTTTCGACCCAACGCTCTACGCGTTTTCGCAGATTAGTGATTCGTGGCCTATCCGCTTCACAGCTAATCTCTCTGACAACAGGCCTTCTGGGGTCGGTGAATCGAATGAGTTGGAGGAGCTTACGGTAATTGCTGGAGACAGCAGCGATCTCCATCGCCGAGGCGCGCTGATACCACCAAGTCTCGCGGTCAGTACGCAGTCTGTTTGAGTTGCCGATTGAGAGTCTGATGCATAGAATTATGAGCTGACTCTGTTGGTACATTTCGACGACGATCAATCAGTTCTAGCGAGTGAGCGGCGATCCAACTTATCAAATGGTGTTAGATGAGACCACAAAGCGATTGACCATAGGAAAGCATCGTTTCGTGCAAACAAGCCCAATGTTGCTCAACATCTTGGGGTGAACTACAAGTGAGGGCATCCGATAGTGCAGCCTAATAGCTTAGTTGGACAGATGGGTCGACTTACCTGTTTGCGTCAATCTTACGGTCCACTTGTTTCCGGGACCCACCGAAGCGCATGTAGGTGTTTGCTCAAACTAGCGCGTGATCTGAGTCGAGGTAGCTTGACAAGAATGATCTGCAGTCTTGTATACTACCTCGCAAACGAAAACAGTTTGTGATGTGGTCGACCAGAACTGTATTGGGGACAGAGGGCGCCAGGTTGCGGAACGTCTCTTATTATACCTGAAATTGCTACTGGAGAGAAACAGTTGGTTGTCCATGCACAGTGTGAGAAGCCGGTCCCCATTATCTGTGCGTCTCTCGTTAAACGCCTGCTGACCTCCAAGATGGCGTTCATATGGAAGCACGCGATCGACCCTTGCATTAAAGTCGCCAGCAACTATAATAACATCTGACTTGTTCACTTTACTCAGAAGAAGGCGCAGTTCGTGGCAAACGTTGTCCTTAATAGAGTCGCTGCTGTAATCAGTTGGGGCGTAGGCACGCAGTGCTGTGCGTGCCGAGTGATTGAACTAGCCGGCACCTTGGGTGTTATCTCACTAATGTGCAGTTGTTGGAAGCAAGTGTCAAAATTGACATGTCGTTAGTGCCACAACTAAATATTATGATTTTTTGTGACGAATTTGCCAAACCGCTGGAATTTGTGAAGTTTAAGTAGCCGATGTTTCGAGTGGACTTTCTGATGTGTGCATTCCCCCATCTGCGCATTTCTGTCAGTAGGATTTTTGCTGTGCGCAATTTTCGTGTACGCTTTCTCCCGATCACCTCTAGGATCTTACTACACAACACTTAGATGTACGGCGCACGGTCCTGCTGGACAGCATCTCTATCCTGGGAGGGGCCACGACTCGGTTACTCAATTTTTGCGCACTTCGTT